ACATTGAAGATATCGCACTCGGTCGCGATATCTTCCCGGCCGCGACGAGCCATGCGATGAGATGGCACGCTCTCTTGCAGATCTTCCCTGCCGTGAAATACTTCACGACCACTGGATTATCGTGCGCTCTCTGTGAGGCACTCCGTATACCCGGTTCGTCGACCCAAGTCGACATTATCCCGTCATCCAACCCGCTGCATCCGTTCTACGGTGCGACTCCCGCACTGCCTCATCTCCAGCACATGTCGCTGGGATTCAGATCGTGGCAGGAGACAACACCGTTGTTGGCTGCCTGTGACGTTGCAGGGATGCTACAAGAGCGTGCCAAACTGGGCATACCTATCCGAACTCTGGTCTTGGACCATATACGGGTCCAACCCCTTTATGTGGTGGACAGTTTCGTGAGCTCGCTTCGACCGCTCGTACCGTTCCTTCAGACGAGGGCGTCTACTTGCGAGTCTCTGATATGTTCACCCTAGACGTTAGGAAACACATTGAATGTACATATGTGATGCAATTAATGTACATTCATCATGCCCCGGGCGTATAGCTCTGATTGCTGGAGAAAATCAGATGCGGTTTGCGTGCCGCTAGGTCCAATATCATCTCGGCAGCGTAAGAATTGGCCCATGCGAACCACGGGCGAGTAAAGTCTGAGCCGTTGTAGATGTTGACACTCTCGTGGATCAGGCCCAGTCCGGCTGTGTTCTGTATATCGGAGTCAGTCAATACGAGACTACGCTGAGAAAGTAGGAGACTCACGTTCGCGATGAGATAGAGGGACTCAAGTATCTCCTCGTCGTCATCCGTTCCAAAGATAGCAGAAATACGCGACATCGGCCATGGGTGATAGACATCGACATGCGGGCCGCCAACGCCGCTGAAGTTGGCGCCAGCCGCGTAGTACGGGTTTTGACGCGAAAGCAGGACCTCACGCGTTGCGACGTATGCTGGGTCGGTCTTGTTCAAGAAGCCGAGATAAGGGAGTGCCAGAAGGGATGGGACGTTGGCATCATCCATGACATAGCGTCCTCCGAAACCATTAGTCTCATAGGCGAAGATGTTGTCTACAACCTGGGCGTCGTACTTCAGCTTCACTGACTTGAAGTCACAGCGGATATGGCTGAACTGACCGTGGTATTCCAGATGGCCGCTTCGATCTGGGAACTCCACTCGCGTGCAGAGGAACTGACATTTGGGAACATGTTTGCGTCATCAAGGACATCGGCCAGGCGAGAGAGCTCAACGCTGAGCATGGCGTTTGCAGGCGTGAGGAACGCATACACGCTCAAGTCATCGCTAGGTCGATGGTGTGTGCCGACCATACCAGTGTACGCCTTTGGCTCACCATTCCCGTGATTGTTCACAGGCGGACTGAGCGATCCAGCAGTTCCAGTCCAGTTATAGTATGACACGAAGTTAAAGTCGGCATCAAGCGTCGCTTGCGACTGGTCTTCCATCACGGTGAAGATTTGGTCGATGGCGGCAGTCCAGTTCCCGTTCATGAATGACGAGTCTTTCGTAGCCTCATAGTACCCACGAGAGAGTTTGAGGAAACCGCAGAGAGAGTCGAGCTCATATTTGCACTCGAAGACGGTCTGGTTATCCACGGGTCTATGCCATCGTCAGCAAGAGCGCCAGACTATCCGTACATGAGAGCTAAGATCGATACGCACGGGTTGACGGTGACGAGGTCAGCATAATCGTTATGACTTGGCGCGAGGCCACTCTCGGGAGGAGGTTGGAATGCGCCGCAGTACGGATACTGCGAGATGTAGCGCGCTTCGTTGTTGATTACCGCCTTCACGAGTGCCGCGAGTTCAACGTCTTGCGGGAGGACAGATTGATAGACTGCTAGTTGGTTTGCGGTATCGCGGAGCCATTGCGCACTGCGGTCGCATCTACGGTCAGAGACGGCGAGTGTCACACAAGCCAGGGATAACATACGTGATGTCGCCGGTGATTATAAATGCCAAGTTCGCATCCTGAGAAGAGCGTGTCAGCACAGTTCTTCGCCGTAGATGAGCACATCTCCCTACCGGGTCGAAGTACTTCACGGTCGTATCTGCGTGAGACTTGGGTCAGGGTCATTCCTAACCTATCGGGATAAGATGAGCTCGAACGCACCAAGCGTATTAGGGAAGGTGTTTTCGAATAGGCGTGCGAGGTCCGGGTCCTTGATGCGCGCTTTCATGTCTTCGATGACTTGCTGCAGGAGCGTATTAGCGCCGTCACATTCTAGAGCGACGAGGAAGAGCTTACCTCTACCGCGGAAGAGTTGAAAGTTCTGCACTCAGGAGCTGGACGCATGTAAGGTAACCCAAGGGGTCCAGTCGAGGCATTGCCTTGCGGACTCTACGATCAAGTACGTGTTCAATTTGCGCTCGCTTCTGCGTGGAAGGGAAAGAGTGCCCACCGACGCGTACGTCGCGAAGTCCGGGCAGTCAGTCTGTGCCGCCACCAAAGGGGACGCGGCAAACAGACCAGCTGCCCCGAGTAGCTCGACAGTCCTCAGCCAACGCATGTCCAAGTTCAGATCAGCGACGGAAACTCGACCAATCCATCCCCTGGCTTCTCTTATAACCTCGCACACGGCAGTGACGACGGCGGGCAGCATGACCGGTGCGCGGACCTCAGCAGGTGATCGCGGCAGTGGTCGGAGGCGTCATGGGGCCACTGCGAGCGCGCTGCAGCTGGTGCGGTGCGCTTCTGACGATCCACATGGAATAGTAGGATCAGAGACGGAGACGGATAGAAGATCAACATTGCATTGTGGTCAGAGGGTATGTGCTAAATTCGTATGGTCGATGGTGGTGGTCAAGATAGAAGATGAGGGCGGGGTCCGCTCGCTGGACTGGCCGCGACAACTAAGTACTACACTACTAGGAAGCAGAGCCGTGTGCGACGCAGAGATGAGGAGGCGAAATTGTATCACGATGCATGGTATGTAGATAGCAAGATGATAGAGATGGACCACACAGACAGCGTATCTTGTAGCAAATATACATAGCGATGAGAACAAGAGTAATGCACAAGCCGGACGACCAATGCGCGGATATTTTGAGCGTCACTTTTGGTGGCACCTATAAATCGGATGGCAATGTTGCTTCAATACGGAAGCCGGCCGTTCATGCGCCAGGAACAGGTTCGTTCGCAGCGAGCGCGTTTTGACACGCCTGAGCGCGTGAGTGAATGCCTTCCGGCTCATCACTTGCGTCAAGTTTGTCTTTGCAGATGTTGGTCAAGGTTTTGCGCATCTGACCCTGTACGGTGCCAAGATAATGTGCCAGGAGTGGCGTATAGTTCTCCGGTATCTGGAGACGAGACGTCAGAGAGTACTACATGGGTTTGAGGATAAGAAGGAAGGCGCGACTAACCTCGTCCAACTTCCACATATTGCGCACGAGCCAACTCTGCTTGGCCTTATTGAACTTGAAGGCAGCTGGGTCCCTATGGTGTGCGTGTGCGTACAAAAGAGCTATATCCCTCAATAGTCAGTCATAGAACGTAGCTAGAATCAATGACGCAAAGATTTTTACCCTCTTTTGCAGAAGACGACAGGCTCTCGTCGCTTGAAGGGTTTACTATTGCGCTAGCCTTCGACTTCTTTGCCGGCTTCGCTGGAGTGTCCACGTCCATGGCATCCTCTGCATCCTTTCGTTTACGCTTCTTCTCTTTCTTTGCAGGAGTGACGGGTTCAACGGTCGACACGACAGGTTCGGGAGAAGCTTCAACTGGCGCAGCGGTGGCGTCGGTTTTGTGCTTCTTTCTCTTCTCCTTCTTGGGTTCAGCCTGTGACGCTGTGATCAGGCCCTGCGTCGAGTCGTGAACTGACAGAACTGACTGTAGAAGGTCCAGCTTCGGGGGTAGCAGTCGGCGTAGGCGCTGGTACTTGCGTATCAACATCCATAGGAGCAACCTCGCTTTTGCGCCTCTTCTTCTTCTCTTTCTTAGAAGGTGTTGGCTCGCCCTAAGACGATGGCAGCATTAGACGCGGAGACGGCACACGATGTGATTACTTACGATAGGTTCCACACCCATGGCGTTGTCAACCGGAGTAGGCACTTCAACATCAGGTACAGGTAGGACAGCAGGCGCATCAATCTTGTGTTTTGTCTTTTTCTCCTTGAGCGTCTGAACCTAGAACCGAGATCATGAGAGGCGTGAGCGTGCATTGGTTATTGAATACGGCAACGGTCTGCGTACCGGTTCTTGTGTCTTCTCTAAAGATGAAGCGGCCTCACTCTTTCGCTTCCGTTTCTTCTCCGGTGAAGGCTCTGTTGCAACCGCCTCTGCGACTATCGCGCTCTCCTCGATAGGTGCTACCTCGCTCTTTTTTCGCGTCTTCTTCTCCTTCTTACCCATCGCATCGTCCAATTGCGTTACAACAAGCTCGAGGTCCTCCTCCACTGCCTGATCATGCTCTGCCCGATCCTTCGCCGCCTTCTTCTCCTTCTTACGCGCCTTCACGGGCGTCTCCTCCAAAGGCGCTTCATCCGGAACGGCCTCTGCACGCTTCTTCTTCCTCTTTTTCGCAGTCTCCGTTACTCCGTCAGGTGTAGGTCCGGGTGTGGGCGCAAGGTCCGCGATAGAAGTGCGCTTTTTGACCTTTTTCGCCGGCGTCCCAGTGGCAGTTACAGCCATCGCAGCAAGATCGAAAGTAGATGGTGCGAAAGCGAAGCAAATAGCGATAGAAAGACCGTGAGTGGCGGAGACAAGTCGCGAGAATGCGCGCGCGTTGAGGCGGTCGATCAACGAAGCTTGGACGCGGTCATGCGCGGTCCCTGACCCGGGCGCGCGGCGCGTCAATTACCGCGTCGGCGTAAGCACGATGCGCCTCTGTGCCGTTGCCCGCGCGCACACTCACTCATCACACAACCACCACCCCACTCACTCGCCTCACAACTTGTACCATGGGCCTCACCGTCTCCAGCTTTTGGGGCTCCTTAAGCAGTCTTGTGCACTGGAGAAAGGACGAGGACGTCCGCATACTCATGCTCGGACTTGACTCGGCCGGAAAGGTGCGCCTTCCGCTCGAGTGCGCAGGTGGACCAAGATGACTAATGGCCTGCGGTTGTGCGCAGACGACGATCTTGTACAGGCTACAGGTACGACCCTGAACCATTGAACACCGCGAGAGCGTTCGAAAGCTCATAGCATGAGGCAGATCGGCGAGGTCGTGTCTACTATACCCAGTACGTTATACCTATGCATATCCGAACGTGCTGCTGATCAGAGCTAGCAATTGGCTTCAATGTTGAGACTGTACAAGTGCGTCGCCACGGTAGGTTGAGATGAGAACAGTGGGCTCATGGTATGAAACAGTACAAGAACATCAAGTTCCAAGTATGGGATCTTGGTGGCCAGTCAAGCATACGGTCAGTCCAACCCGTCGCCACATCATGGCGAGCCTTCACTGAACCATCTATTCGGTGCAGACCGTATTGGCGATGCTACTTCCCAAACACAGCGGCCATCATCTACGTCATTGACAGCGCGGATACTGCACGACTGCAAACATCACGGGAAGAGTTGTTGACAATGCTCAGCGAGGAGGAGCTTAACGGCGTGCCACTACTTGTCTTCTGTAACAAGCAGGACGCACAGGGTGCAATGGCGCCAGACGCCATCAGCGCCGAGCTTGGACTTGCGGGTGGCGAGAAGGGCCGTGACTGGAGCGTTCGCGGTTCATGTGCTTTGAAGGGTGAGGGCTTGGAGGAGGGACTTGATTGGTAAGTCTGGACACTTTGACCGGCTTCTATTGTGCTCATGAGACGTAGGCTGGTGAATGCGATACAGAAAAAGTAGTCTCGCCGACGAACTACGTGCCATCATCATTCCCATTGCTCTCGCTCTGCATCTTCATTCTCTCTGGAAGCACTACATCGTACATATAATCTAAACCCGGACTCCCCTCGGCCCTTGAATATAGGTCTGATAATGTGACCCGTGGTCGTCATACACTGGCGATGGGATCGGAGTGCGAATATTTTCATCTCGACGCGAGGTTCTCCTACGTCGACCCACACCCTCAACTTCCCTTTGCGTCACCGTTTGAACCCCAGGGCCCTCCCTATCCACCGCCCGACTGAACATCCTATCAACATTGGCTGTATCCAGCATTCAAGTGGCGAAGTGGCAATACACCAGTTTAATCTCCGCCAATTTTGATGTACGTTCGGCGTCTTTCTTTACCGCGAGTGAGCCTCGCTGTCGCGGACTGCTCGAGGCCGCTGTAGTTGAATATGAGTGCGGCTCTACCACCGGCCGTTCTCCGCCAACGCTGTCGTCCGCGCCCGTCTGATCGGACGGTGGGAAGAGGGATGCAAGTATGGAGTGCGAGAAATACTCAGAGATCGGAAATTGCGAGGCTGACATGTCCTCATCGAGGACGCCTATCTCCTGCGCTAGAGAGGCGGCGTGGGCCGTCGTTGTGAATTCCAGAGCATGGCATGTCATAGAGAAGGAGACGCTTCTATCGACCTCACAGCCAGCTTGGAGATTGTATTGATGATCAAACTCTCATGGCGAATATTGAGCGAAATACTCAGTTGTCCGTACACGGTGCAATTCAGCATTTGGATGCTCAGGAAGGTTTGAGGCGTCAGCGCAATCGTAGTTGACGTCTGTTGTGCCGGCCTTTATGCTGTACAAGTACCCAGCTTTCCCATGCACATGTACCAGCCGTATGCCAGCTTGCACGTAGGACTCACAGTTGCCTTTAATTCTGACGATGCGACAGTTAGGAGCGGGCTTGATCAGTGGCTACAGTATATCTGCATGCTGGTTATATCGTTTCCTAGGCGAAAATCACTGGGACGCGGCCGGGCCGATGAGCGACAAATGGGCAGGTTTGAATGCTACGGCAGGCTCTAGATCTGACTCGGACGAGGCGTCTATGTACAGCGGCACAGTAGAGCGCCACGATGCAGTCGGAGACACGTCGGCAAATCCCGAGACGGCAATAAAATCCCCATGCGTGGCAGGGAACAATCTTCTCTCTTACCACGATGAGTTGCGTCGCTGTGTGCCCTGCACACGGCTTCACTCTGCTACTGTGCCGTTGAGGCAATAAAACTGTAGCTGTCATCGTCTCTGCTTGGGTCGCTCTTATCCTTGGCTTAGGATGTCACTTCGGTGACGGCGGCGGCTGTCTGATCAACAGCGGGGTTTCTGAGCGCGCACCGATGAGGTCGCGCGCGAGGATCTTCTGGATTGCTCTTCCCTCCCTGGGCGAGCTTGAGCTAGCTACTCTCCAACCCCACTCGCCCTTCCGGCCATTAGGAATCTGATGACGAGGTCGTTGCTGCGCTCGTATCACCCCGCGCTCGACACCTTTTCGTCGGTTGTCCGCCGTAGCCTCCGCGACTCGCCAAGAGGAGTGGAAGCTGGCGACGACTTTCAGCATCCTTGACGCTTGCGGCCGCAGCGCAAGTACCGTGCGGCAGATCCCTGCGCGCGCGTCCGGCATCTTCACCTCTCCTTGTACCCCTGGGGAAGGGAGAGTGCATGCTGGGTGATGCTTCGAGCGATCCATATGCTATCTGCTGCTGTGCGAGAGCACGACGCAGCCGCGTCCGGAGTCGTGCGAACGCCCGCTAAGCGCGGTGTTTTATGCACGCTCACTCGCTTATGTCGTGCGTCTGGCGGGCGCACGATGCGATGGACGCTGACGCGGTCCCCTCACGCATCCGCTGGGATGTTTGGATGCCGCGACTTTGTCGTAGCCCGGCATTGGGGATAGCGTCTCCGCCCGTACGATCGCGTCCGCCACGCGGTATCGTCGGGTTCGGTGTCCTGATGACTTTTGCCGCGAGTCAGTTTAACTGCTTGCACCGGCGATAAGGACTGGTGAAACGAGCGAGCACCGTGCTACGCGGTGTAAGTGGAATCCCAGAGCCATCGTCGGGTAGTCCGGAGGTCACGCCTTTGTGCGTGTCCCCCTGCGAGTCATCGACATCGATGCGCGCTGGCACGCTGTCGTGCCGGCGCGTTTGTCACCTTTAGCTTCGCGCCAGCCAAGCGGGGTCCCTGCATGCGAGAAGAGACATTCTCATTCAACCGGATGCGCGACTTGATAGTCGCGTACGCCGGACGCCGTGGCTACATGTACCACGGCCGAGGTAACGGCGACCTTTAGGTTGTGCGCCCTCGTGCGCTATTGGCGCATTCTGCACAACGCAGTCAATTTATTTTTTCCTCACTTTAGGGGCTTTTGGGCCCCTGCGCTTTGCTTTGAGTTGCTGGGGATCGGCCCTTCGGGAGGCTACGACAGCACGCCGTAGAGACCATACATAGCCTTTGTCCTTTGCACCGCATGTACTCGTATGACATGTACTACTACTATACCACCTCTGTGTAATTGAGTAGAACTTTAGTGATCTCGTTGCAGGTTATCATCCTGGACCCTTCTTCAGCGCTTTCACACTATAGGACACCGCGTCAACTTCTTTGAGTTCACAAGCATATGATGATAGTAGCGTGCAGATGTATGGCAGTCAGTTGGATTAGTACTGTGTAGAGTGATGTAACTGAAGATAGTAGTGCAGCGATCGTCCATATTGATGCAGTTGTATGAAGTGCTCAAGATGTCACTGCTGACGTGCGCCCGGCCTCGTCGTCACTCAGAATCCGCTTTACAAGCCCCGACTCGACAAGCTCTACCTCAAGCTCATCTACTCTTCCCATTTCCAGGCCACAACCCACGAAACTCAACGAGTCGAGCTTGGGGACGCATTCCTGTGCCCGTCGCTCCAAGGTATATCGTAGTGCTGGACCCGCCACCTCTCGGTCGAAGTGGCACTGCTTCAAGGTTATAGTCCGCAAGTGAGGCATGCAGACGTCGTCTCCTTCTTCGCTTGGTGTCGACAACAGGCTTCTTCCCAGCAGGAGAAACATTGACGATAGCTGCGACGGACGATAGGCCACGAGGACTAGATCTTCGACCGCGCCCACGCGTTGGTCCAGTCGCGCCATGCGTTCCGGGTCGGTGCGCGCGGCATCCACGGCCTCTATGGTGATGCGCTTCACATTGCGAAGAGGCGTCACGTCGAAAATCTGCACGGCAGGTGCATGAGGTGTCTTCATCTTGTTCTCCCATGAGACAAAAAGACTGAGATATGGGTGGGTGTACGGATGCGAGGGAGACGCGTATTCATTGGGCGGCCGACTGAGTGGGTAGAGGTCGTAGACAACTCCATTTGACGCGTTACGCTTGACGTGTAGTTCTTGGAAGGAGGAGATGTCGCACTCTATGAAGTGCTTCTTGAGCGCGTTGGGTAGGATCTCAGGGAAGTCGGCGGAGTGAATGATCTCGATCTGTGCAGCGCACTCGGGATGCAGCTTGAGAGCACACCACAGTTGCGCATATTGTTCCCCCGAGCCTGTGAGGCGCAGTTTCTGGAGATGCGGTAGATTCACGGTAACCTGTGCGTTATCGTCGACCGTTCGTCTTGGGACCATACCCGAAAGCGAAAGAGTCCGCAGATTCGGCATTGCGCGGAGTCCGTCCAGTACCTGGGTGAACGACACCGACAACACGCCTTCGATGGGGTTATCGATGCACAGAACGAGTGTCCTGATCGCGGGAGGCGGAGAACCCCACGGGAAACACGATGGGGGAAATCGTGTAAGTTCCAACCTTTGTAAAGCAGGTGCGTGATTCGTAAGGAAGTTCAGCAGCACGCCTGCCTCCCTGAAGAGTAACCTCGAACGTTTGAGGGCCGGAAGTCTGAGCGTGTGTAGAAGCGGCGCGGGTTCTTTGAGTAGTAGAGCGAGCTCTTCGGCGGCAGGAACGAACTGCCTCTCCGCATCAGTATGCGCGTACATGAGCGTCCGTACGCGATGAAGCTCGCGCGTCAGGACCCGTCTATATGCTTGTCGTAGTTCACGATCATTGCCGTTGGGCAGCGCGTGTACGTCAACCTCGAGCGGGGCGTCCTCAGAGCGTTCCAGGAAATCATCGACCAGTCCTCGGGATAGGATCATCGGGTTTAGAGACGTCCATAGCGACTGGTGGCCCAAAGCATGTGCGCGCCAGTGCTGACATACATGACTCGACGCCTGTAGCCATTCTAAAGAGCCGTCGCGCTCGCAATCGTCGTGCAAGAGCTCAAAGACCTGCGAGAGTATGGTGGGTGGTAGCCGCGCTGCAAGGGGAGATGGGGTAGCGTCTGTCGGCGGCTCGGGGATTGCCGTCGTTGATGAACTGCCCCTAAAGCGCCTTAGCCCGCGCATATAGCCGCAGTAGGAAATGGACGCACAGTTCGGGATCCGACTCTATCATCGTGCTCGCAATCCGTGTGGGTGCTAGGAGATGGCGGTTGGTGAACAAGCAGGGTCAGATAATAATATCGTCTCCTAGCGTCGCACTGCGACGCTGGTTTCAACGTGCTTGATGCGGCGATAGCGCCCGCGGTAGATATGAGCCAATGGCAGGCACAGTAAACTGTTCGGCGGATGGTGCCCAGGCAGCGCCATTTGACGTGCCGTTAGAGAGATCGTATTCAGAAGCAATTGCCAATAGCTCTATAACGTGACACCAGATCAGACAGTTTGATGTCAGTGTCCGTTGTCTCCGAGGAGCGCGGTCGTAGCAGAGTCCTTGACTCTTTGTGCGTAGCTTCAGCGCGTCTGTCGTCTGTGATCCAGCAGCATCCTCCGAACGTACACCGTGCGTGGCTTTAAATTTGCAGTTCGACTAGGCTAAGAATGCATCGAAGACGTATACTTGAGACTCCGCAATCGGCGGACGAGCCACAAGCATCAGCTGAACGGACAGCAGTCTGTCGTCGGCAAGGCACGAGCCAACCTTGAAAGCCAGTGTGTTTCACATATGACCGGAAACGCTTCTGCGGCGCGGCCGAGGCTACATATCACACAAGAAGTGCTTTCATCCCACATGACGTACATCCTGGCGCAGGTAAGAGCCTGTTCAAAAGCATCACGCATCAAGAGACGCGGCTAGCGTACAGAGTTAAGGGGTCCAATCGCATTCATCCAAAATAGCGGGAGACCAACAAAGAATATGAGGGTAACGAAGGGGAGCTGTGCTTTCTTGAAAGCATGGGGAGACGAGCAAAGAGAACGAAAGATGGTGATGGTGATCAAGTGAGTAACATACTGAACAACCGCTGTCAGCCGTCAACCTTAATTCAAGGCGGAGCAGACGACATACCATATCATCCAGCGACAGGCGGGCTCAATGGAAGCGGTGTAGTCGGCGCGCTGACAAAGTTCTCCGTCCCTACATCCGACTGGGCGGTAACGAACGCGGGGCTCGGCTTTGATCGAGAAGCAAAATAGTCGCCCGACGGTGGTTGGGCCGGCTCAGACGAAGGGGATTGGCGGAGGGTCTTGTCGCCAGGGTGCTCCTCATCCGACTGCTCATCGCGCGCATCTTTCGCCTCGACATTCTCTGTCTCACGCTCTACTTCCGGCACTGAATCGGTCTTTGCAATGACGACTGGCTCGGCCGTTCTTGTTGAGTCCTGACTGTCGTGAGTTGGCAGCGGCGGTGGCTTCTCGTCCCTCAGTTCGGCGGGCTCGTGCCTGGGTGTCTCATGTTCGAGCGAGTGTTCGTCCTTATGCTCCTCATTCGCAGCGGGGGTCGGTGGCTGCACCTTCATCTGCAAACCCGGTCCCTCGAGAACTTCCACACTCTCCCCAGCATCTTCATCGACGCTCCCCTCCCTCTCCTCGTCATCTTCGTCATCGTATCCCGGGCGGAAGCTCGACCATACGCTGCGGTCGCGCAACACGCTCGGCGTACCGGGGCCAAGCGCAACCATACTTCCGCCACCAGTCATTCTGGCACTCCATCCACTCATCTCGCTCTCCCAGCTTCCGCGCCTGCTACTGCGAGGTCTGAGGGCGCGCACACTCGCGTCCCCGGCGCCGGGACCGTACCAGACGTCGCTCGCACGATCATCAAGGCGGGCATGGCTATGAGACAATCCAGAGATGGACAAGGCATCGGCGCTCTGGACGATGCCGGGACGAGCACCGGGTACACCAAATGCGCTACTTGCGAGGGTCAACACGCTGGCGTTGTCCGGAGGCGGGCTCGAGGGACGCGGGTTATTCCTTGGATGATGATGCGTGAGCTGGGGCGCCTGCACTGTGCCATCTGAGGCGTCCGGCGCGAGCGAAGCGGCGAATGAAACGCCAGTCGCCGTAGAAAGACCGCGAAGATGGGCCGGTGCACGTACGGTCGGCGTGGGCGGCGCCTGGGCGATATGTGCCATCCCGCCGTGCAGATCGACAGAGAGCAGCGTGGTAGGCTTCGTGCTAGCCGCGAGGGACCGGAAGGTGGCCGGGCCGGAGAGATAGGAGGACGAGGAGCGGGAAGGCGCAGGGCTCGGCGGCGAGCTGGGCGGCAACGGCCGTACACTGGCATCCTCGTCAGCCTCTGCGGCCGATGCCGGGCTCCAGAGCGACTCCCGCGCGGCGCTGGAGGAGCGGTAGGTCGAGCGCTCACGTGCGTCGTCGTCGAGCGAGACCGCGGCTTGGCTGACCCTCTTCTCGCGCCCTGAACGGCTCGGCGTGCTCATCGTCCGAGTGAGATTATAATCCGGCAACGGCGGGCGCTTCTTGTTGTTGTTCTCCCGGGCATGGGCACGCGCCGCCTGTCCACGGGCGCCTTCGCTCGCGCGCCTCGCCCGAACAGTGCCTGCAAGTTTGCGCTGGAACCAGTCAAAGATCGGCTTGCTCGACCGCCTCGTGATCTTCTTGTCGTTATTATTATTATGCGTATTATGCGTAGTCGGCGATGAGCCAGAGTGAGGCATCGAATGGCGTGAGCGGCGAACGTCCGCCAGTGCGGCTGCCTCCTTGCTCGAAACGTGAGGGGGCGCCGTTGCGGCAGGCGCAGATAGGCGTGGCGCAGCGTCCTTGGAACTGCGCGACGTGATATTCACTGGAGGCGGCGCCACCGTCTGAGTCGTACTCATAGTCATGGTGGGGACAGTGGTGGTGGTGGTGGAAGATCAAGGTTGGAGGGGCATGTGTGTGTCGGCTGTACAGTAACTACGGTTGTTGTGAAGGGGTTCACACGCTGAACGGGCACGCTTCGGTATCACAAAGTCTATTCACAAGGTGGCTCCAAATCACAAGGTCATGGCTGATGCAAGCTTCCGTATCTAGTAGTTCTGTGGCGGTATGAAGAACTTGATTCACATATTCGTCTTGGACGAATGGCCATCGTCTTTGGGTCTGCACTAAGTATATCACACGGCCGACAACGCGCGGCGAGGAACTTTGAGAGATTGGACACTCCTCCTGAGCATGCATTGCCAGAACAGAGCCCGGATCGGATCGCGTGCCCATACGTTCATCACGGCAGCTGTCTCGCAAGGGGACTCTACGACGACGCAGTACAACCCTCAACGCCCTTGACAGGTTCCAATCAGATACGCTTCAGGATCGTATTGACAACCTCATCCGTCGAACTCTTCCCGCCCAAATCCGGTGTCAGATACGCGCCCTCCCTCAACACGGCATCCACAGCCGTCTCGATCTTATCCGCAGGTGCACCGTAGCCAAGGTGGCGCAGCATAAGAGCGGCAGAACGGATAGATGCGACGGGGTTCGCGCGGTTCTTGCCCTCAATGTCAGGGGCGGAACCGTGCACGGGCTCGCCCATGACGAAGCCGTCGCCTGCGTTTACGGAGGGCACAAGTCCGAGGGAGCCGACGAGTGCTGCGGCGGCGTCGGAGAGGATGTCGCCATAGAGGTTTGGTGCAACGAGAACGTCGTAAATCTGGGGCTCACGGAAGAGGCTGCGCGCGGTACGAGGGTCAAAGCTCTAGTCTAGACGGGTGGTGTTGGAGAATGCGTACCGGTATACTGCGCTGTCTACGATCTGCTCCTGGATCGTGACGCCGTCATACTTCCCCGCGCTCTCCGGCAGGGAAGGTACTGAGCGCACCGTCTCACGGAAGAGCCCATCTGTGATGCTCAAGACGTTGCTTTTGTGGATGATCGTGACGAGCTATCCGATTACTCAATGATGAGCACCCCCTCAAACTAGTGCACGTATGGAATACAGCATACCTTGCGCTCTCGAGCCAAAGCGAGCTCAAACGCCATCTGTCCGATGCGGCGACTCGCGCGCTCAGTGATAAGCCGTGTCGCACGCGCCTCCTTCCCGTTCGGTCCTGTTGTCTGCGTCTCCTGCTTGACATACAAGCACTCCGTGTTTTCGCGGACGACAATCATGTCAACATTCGACTTCGCGTCGGGGTCGGCTGTCACCTAGATGAAAGGGGACAGTGAGATTGAGCTGTGTTAGTTGAAGTAATAGAACACGCACTGCTTTGACAGGGCGGATATTCGCGTAGAGGTCCATCTCCTTGCGCATCTGTACGATCGGGCTGCTGTATCCTGTTACCTTGCGTGTAGGCGAGCTGCCGTAGACTCAGCCACTGTGACATGAAACCTCAGCATCAAGGGAGACACACCTGACTGCGCCGAATAAGGCAGCATCGCAGTCATTTTTGAGTACCCTGTGCGAGTACGTAGTTTAGCTGCGTGAGACAGCAAATAGCAGGCGGTAACCGAACTTACTCGAGTGTCTCCTCAGGCAATGCGACGCCTGTGCGCGTGAAGCACTCCCAGCCCGCGACAAGATCGTGGAATTCGAGCCGAGGTATTTCGGAGCTGACAGCCTCGAGTGCTAGCCTTGCAGCCTATATGCCACGAAATTCCAACTTAGGTGGGGGTGTGGTACAGAACCAAGCGCACTGGTAGACGTACAGGAATAACTTCCTTTCCGATACCGTCTCCAGGGATCAGGCCGACGCGCAGAGTCGAGCGCGCCGCAGCGGCAGTGGCAATAGTCCTCCTGAGTGGTGCGCGGAATGCCATGTGTGGCTATAGAGTGTATGGACGGTTGGTGGCAGAAAGGAAGCTGCCTCCACAGGCGTTGGAAATTCTGGACACCGTGGAGGTGCCTTCGGCCGTACGCGCCCGATAGCGGAGACGCGTGAGGGTGACATGTCACTTGTTGAGTTTGTTGATCAAATTGTGACGCGACGTGTGGCACTGTTTATTGCGTTCGTCGCGCCTCTGGACCGAACCACGCCGTTCATCATGTCGCGCACAGTCTCCAGGACGGGCTCAGGCTCGAGCTCGGCGAGCTTTACACAGTACACTCTCACCGACCTCTTCTGTTCGCCCAAGTCCGGCAAGCCACCGAAGCGCCCTGCCGATGCGGAGGTTGAGACGCCCAGGAAACGGCTGCGGATACTGAGGCAGCGGAATGGTAGTGAACGTGGAGACGCGATGGACATTGACATGGACGCTGGCGTGGAGAAAATGATGGCAATGATAGACAATGGAGACGAGGACAGCGACGAGGAGCCCGTACATTGTGCCGCTGTGCGCCGTCCAACGGTTGACCATCTCATGCGTGCAAGTGCCTCGTTACGGCCTGGACGGTTCTCTCAGAGATTTATCCGTATGAGACTGTTCAATTGCTTTCTGAATCGTCTCTCTAATCACTTTCACAGCCTCTACTCGCCCGCTGCTCGCCTCGCTCGCCTCATCTGACACCACCGACCGATATCTCTGCCCGTCAACCACACCCGACGTTTTCACTACTCCTCCATATGCTTGCGTCTACTCCCATACTGCGAAACGAGGCGGAGACCAGCGCCTTGCCGTCTCGACCGAGCAGGGCGTCGTTTACGTCTGGAACACCTCGTCCGACTGCCACGCCGGCGCCCAACGTCTCGACCTACCGGCACATGGCAACGGAATATTTGACGTCCGGTGGTCGCTCGACGACACGAGATTAGCGACAGCAAGCGCGGATCATACTTCTCGTATCATCGATGTACGCACAGGCGCCATACTCTCCGAACTGCACTCGGGACATACAGCAACTGTGAAGACATTGACATGGGATCCCTCTCACGACTCGCTTCTCGCAACTGGCGGTCGAGACGGTGTAGTATGTCTCTGGGATCTCCGTACGGCCTCCGAAGTTGGACCTGCTGCACGCATTGCGCACGCACACGAGGAGCTACTCGGAACGGGTCAGCGCCGGAGCAAGAAGAAAGGCTCGACGCGCGCTGTCACCGGTTTACTCTTCTCTTCGCATGCACCGCACTCCCTCATAAGTGCCGGGCCCGCCAATGGACTATTGCGACTATGGGATCTACGCACTTGCAGCGGTACCAAGAAACGCTCGGACCGCGAATCGAGTACGCCCGCGCGCATGTCACCAGAAGATCCCACTGCTCGCGGATCGGCGCTAGGTCGAGGCCGTGGTCTCACGAGCTTAACATCGGGTCCAAGCAACTTGCTGTTTGCACTAGGGTGCGACTCTCGCGTGCACGCGTACGAGCCCGGTACACTTGCTCCCCTCCGTGCAGAACTGGGCCACGAGAAACTCAGCACGAACAGCTTCTATGCCCCGCTCGGTCTTAGCGAGTGCGGGCGCTGGGCCGCGGCCGGTGGCGCGGATGGTTCAGTTGTCGTATTTGATGTTGACAATGTGGGACGACCTGGAAGGAGTGTTGACGATCGCGGGGTATTGTTGAACGGACATGGAGAGGCGGAAATAACAGGCGTCAGCTGGGCACAGGATGTGCTTGCTACATGTGCAGATGATGGTACTGTGCGGGTTTGGCGCGATTGTACGGAGCGGCGCTCAGTCAATGGCGGTATCGGTAGTGCTGATCTTGTATGGGCCATTGTATAGTCCCCCCAATGCAGACTGTCTTTGAACTGACAAGCATGGACGTTCTTGCCTATGACCAGGTTACTGAGCAACTCTGATGTCGAAGTAGATATATGGTAACAACAATTTGTTCACTGAGAAGTCTGCGCACAGGCTCCGGCGGCACATCCCCCGAGTTGACACAGACACGACGGACTGGAGTCCCAAAGGAAAAATAAGTCGCAAACTTGAGTCCGCTGACGTTCGACATAGAGATCTCCAAGCTTCGAGTCCGCTCAGAATAGCCACCAGTCGTGACATCGCAGACAGGTGTAGGGTGTAGATTCGATGTGTGCGCTCATTGGAAAGCGCCGTATGAATAGCTGGGCATCGAGCCAGGCTAGTCCGAATCTGAGGCGGAGGCTTCGTCTTCTGGTCTCCGCGCAGTGAATACGTACCTTCTACGCAGACAGTCCTCAAGAGATCATATTGACTGATCGGCGCTTAAGCTGTACTCCAACGTCCACGTCTTGAAAGGCATGCGCTCGTTGGACACGATCTTGGGACTGGCATCGACCGCAATCATGGCGACCCAGCCAAGCCTATATACATCGTGCAGTGGACATCGTTGGTTCTAGCTTACACGGCAAAACGATCGTGGTATGCGGCAGGGACCTCGCGGGCTTCGGCGGCCCTCTTATTGCCGACGTGCGAGCGCGTTGCATGATCAGCTGCACAAACCTTGCTCCTGACCACCATGTCCCTCGTGGCTTCTCACGTTTACCAAAATCTCGCAAACTACTCCAGACAGCCATTTTATACGAATATAACTGAGACAACAGCCCGTCCGAGGTTGCGGTGTTAGCTCTGAGCGCATGTCAACATTTCGACGATGCAACGATCTCGATATCCGTGCCACTGCCCTAACGCCATCACATCTCTTCCATTGAGCATTTCCAGAAGCTCAGTCATAATTTCCTGGCTTGAGTACCTTCTAATTGAGGATCTGCGTATATGCGTTGGTCCTCGAGAGACCGGCGTTCCGATCTTTATCGAAGTAGTCTCGCCGTCATCGTTGTTCCTGCGGGCTGCGGAGGCTCGCCGTCCGGCCCGACATTGCAAGCTGCAGGCTCACAATTCGCTATTCCGCGGTGCATGGTGCTCAGAGTGCCACCGCGGTGTTAGTATAGTAGCATGCAGGTCTTCTGCAGCCTATCATAGGTGGTAGCTGTACGTTTGGCTGCCCGAGTTCTTCGCTCCGGAGGCATTGCAGCTCGTAAAAGTCCGTCGTGATAAGCGCTTTATTTTGCTGATGGGTCATGGTACTTTGCTGATGGTTATCGTCTCATAGATCCGGATCGGCCGAGTCTAGCAGAAGCAGAGTACTTATGCACGCGGCCATAAACCTTGAGCAAGTCTTGCCGTCTCGCTCGCGTTTGCGGACGCTAACTGTTGGCACTGAACACCTCGTACTTGGGAGCAATTGGATGGCGGAGGTGGCATCAACAGCCGCCGAACAAGCGTGAGTGTACTTAGATTCGAAGAACCTGTATCTCTTATCCGCTGACGTTCATTTATTTAAACCTTCAGGGCACCGGTGATAAATGCAAAGTCAGACGCGCCTTTCAATTCAGGTCTACCTCCCGAGGTTCTATCTCGGACCTTCGAGCTACTGCGGGATGATCGCGAGCTTGCCGGGTCTTTGGACTGGCTCACCGTGAGCCACGTCTCGAGACGTTGGCGGGCCGTCGCTCTGGGTCACGAATATCTGTGGACCAGCTTTGGCGCACTGGCCTTGTCCAGGGGCCTCCTTCGCGTCTTTCTGAGTCGCTCCGGGACAGCGCCTCTCGCGGTCTCGATAGGGACCCTGTCTGGCGCGAAGGACCATATCCTGCGGCAAGCGTACAGACAGCTTCTGTCAAGCGAACTCCATCGCATCCAATCACTCGTGTACGAAGACGGCGAGGCGACGTGGCAGCTTCTGCCTGCCGAGGAGGTTGCGCTCTTGTTACATGGACCGGCACCCACACTCCGTGTGCTCAGCTTGCCGGGCTCTAAACGTTCCAAGCTGCTATTCAAGGAGGCGAATACCTTACTAGAATTCTTGTCGAAACACGCACGAAACATACGCCAGCTAGACCTTCGACAATTCCCGCCGCAATGCTTCCCGTGGAGGTCTCCGCTCGCCTCGATGAGATCCCTCGTCTTGTCCGTGGACGGATCGGTGGACAGTGGCTCATCGCAAACATTTGACGATGTACTCAACGGTCTACGCGCTATGCCCTTTCTAGAGAGGCTCTCAATTTCGGGCTTCGGGGCCTCACATGCGTCTCATGGCGTCGCCCGCGATCACGTACATCTGCCTCGCCTGCAGGTTCTACGATTGACGGGGAACCACGACAGGTACGGATATATGTGGAGGTGTCTGAGGACGCATCCTCTATGCGCTGTGCGGATAGAGATCCCCCGCTCATTCACCTACCCGGCTTCGATTCGCCCAGCTCTAGTGGCACACCTCGCCCATTCGGACACAACGATGTTGAGGGAGATGATCGTTAACAAGAACTCGGCGACTATACTATCATTCAGCCTGTTCCCGCCCGACCACCCTCCGGACGAGATGGAGACGAGCGAGTTCACGCACCCAAGCATCAGCATCTTCATAGCATGGGAACAACCACTCGAGATGGCACCATATCTGCCCGCCGTGCAGATTCTTCTATCTACTCCCATCGCGCACCTGCAACGCCTGACGCTCGACGCTCTGGATTTTACTCGCGTGGACCCGGAACACATGGCGGCGTTATGTCCACTCGCACGGTCGCTCGAGGTCCTGACGCTGCGGTCGTTTCGGCCGCATATGTTGTCGTCAGCATTGCTTCTTATCGGCGGAGTGTACACCTCAAATATGAGCATGAGCGAATTTCCCTATCCGGCTCTTCAAAAACTCGTCTTGAAGCGGTGCGACTTCGACCGGGACGTTGCAGCTCCTGCTCTGCGAGATGCCCTCACTCGACGCGCTCTGGCCGAAGCAAAGTTGGAGGAAGTTGCCTTTGTTGCTTGTGGGCTATGCTCAGGGAGGTTTGAAGAGCTGTATGGTGAACTCGTTGAGACCGGGTTGGTCGAGCGTATCGTTTGTGAGGAGGATGAAGAATGAGGTCATGTCCATTAGTGGATAGGCCACAGTCAGTGGCAGTTGTGTGATCGTGACGCTATGCATATGTACTCTCAATTAATATCTTTGGGAACCAAGTATAATACACGTCAACTTTTGTATGGCCGGCGGGTACACCACATCACCACCGGCGAACAAGAGGAGACCCGAACTCTCCATGAACGCGTAGATGGCCAGTCTCGACATTCTATCATGTCGTGTTTGAAGCATCATGAGCGGTCTTTTGGATGCACATAGTTCAGGCGATAAGATGATGATGATATGAAAATACAGTTACACTACAAAAGATACTACAAGAACGAACGACCCACCATCAATAGCCCCGTACACGCCTCCCAAAGGGCTGAGATACGAGGCAAACCGAGACATCGAAACCAGAGGCCCGAAGGCCCCAAAGGGGGAGGAAAAAATTGGTTGAACTCTGCAACGAGCAGAGCGCGCTCGAGGAGAGCAGGGGAGAGAATGGTCCGAAGATCATCACCAACCCCGACCGTGGTGCACGCACGGCCTCCAGTTGCGGACCGGAATATGACAGGGGCAGGGAAATCCTCCGCACGACTGCATAGTTAATGTGCACTGACCCTCACCCGATTGTATGTCAGGAGTAACGAGGGCCCCGGCGATGAGATGAGATGAGTTGCATCGACGTCGACGACTTGCAGGAGAATGCGCACCCTACCCGAAGGTAGTTTGCACGAGCCCAGGCGAACCGGCGAACGGCGCTAAAAGGCACCACGACTGCGTAGCATAGAAGGGGCCTAAGAGTCCGTTGCGCCGGTGCGACCTCGCCACGTAGACGAGGGTCGCGGCAATAGTCGTCGACGATGCGCCCAGACAGTGGTACACGCGCGGCGATCGCGGTTATCGGGCGAAGTTGTAAGGAGGGGGGCTTCCACCATCCTGAGCTGCCGCACTACGCTGTTGACGCGGCGCTCTGATGTCTAGCGAGGACATGAAGATGAGGTGTGCAAGCATGCGTCCTCGCGTCGAGCGTTCGCCGTGGGTTGACGCCGACGATTGAAGAGCTTAGCAAAGTAGATGAGATGTGCGCTGCGGGCAGAGAGATGCGGGGCATGCGGCCCTAAAGGGAGGCGAGCGGCCTGAAGCGGTGCGGTGCGGTGCGGCACAATGAAGCGGACACGCGCGGCGGCGCGGTCGTGATCGCACGGGCTGAGGAGAAGGGACAAGCTGATGCAGCAAGTAGGCAGGGAAGTGGGTGATGGGACAGGGGCTGGAATGGCACTCCTGTGGGCGGCTGGATTGGCGCGCCCGTCGCGGATTAGCGACCCAGACGTTGGATTGACGTCCCCGTCGTCGGATTAACGACCCCTGGGCGGCCTGATGAGCTCGCCGACGCGTGTGCTAGCGACCCCGACGTCTTGTGCGGACGTCCCCTGAGTCTGGGTGGGCCCGTGACTCTTCACGGTGCGGTGAATCTCGATGCCGGATGAGTACGGCAACCCCGATGAGATGCAATGTGCGATGCAAGCCAGGCGTGGGCGCAGGCGGGGAGATCAGCGCGGCGGCGCATAGATCGATGTTACGCGGTGGACAGAGCACCGGAAGATGACCCTCATCGCGGAAGGGGAGCAAGCGTGCTGAGGGTCGAGAATGACGCTGCTCAGATCTTATACATAGGCGGCTTGAGACCGGGCCGGAAGCCGGAGCGGCTGTCGGTAACTGCCGTGCGCCCCAGCAAAGGGGGTGCCTTTGGCGCTTTGAAGACTTCTCGCGAACCGCCACCAGCAAGGACCGATACCCTGCTGTTTCTTCCCTTTACGCGTCTTTGGTCTTTACTTCACGATGTACAACGGTATTGGTCTTACGACTCCGCGTGGAAGGTACGTCTTTCGCGCAGCACAAGGAGCCTTTGTGTTTTCTGAACGAGGTGATGCAGCGGAACCAATGGCTATGTTGTACGCAACCTCAGCGCACTGCGCAACCATGATAGGCCACAGGACAGGCAGAGCGCATGGGACGCCGCGCCACCCAAGCATCGTGAGCCTGATGCGGAAATTCTGGAGCACGAGCGCAAGCGGAAGGTCGAAGTCAAATGCCTGGAACTCCAGCTAGAGCTCGAGGAGGGAGGGTATGTGCAATGCTAGAATCTTGCTTAGTATCGTTCCTGACATATTTGTCATGTCCAGATTCGAAGAGGATGAGATTGAGCGACAGGTCATAGCTTTGCGCGAGAAGTTGCTGGGAATGTTGCCTCCGCCAACTTCGGCCAAGTCGCTCAAGCCTTCGGATACACACGGGCTTGCTGCTGCGAAAAAGGCTGAGTTGTCGAAGATGGCAGCCGCTTTGGGGACGCGTCGGGACTATTCCGAAGGAGAGGCGTTTGACCGGGAAAAGCAGGAGGAGATGAAGATCCAGCGGGCTGCGCAGCGTGAAGAGCGCGAGGCGCGTCGGGAGGAGGACAGGAAGAAGATGCAGGAACAGCGTGAGAAATACGAGGCTGAGCGCAAGGAGCGCGAACGTCTTCGTCGTCGAGAGGAGGATCGCCGGCGCCAGATGGCCCCTCCACCGCCTCCTCCGAGGGATTATCGCGACAGGCAAGTGCATTAACCTATTATATGTCTTCCAAATATCTGACATGTTCTTGTCACAGGCGTAGTCCACCCCGCCGTCGGAGCGTGAGTCCGCCTCCTCGCAGACGCGACGACCGTAGTCTTTCTCCGCCTCGTGGCTACGGCGCTAGAGACCGTTCCCCGACACGTAGGCGCGTACCAGACTCACGCTCGCCTTCTCCGCCTCCACGCCGTAAGCGCCGCTTCGAGTCGCCGCCCCCTGCCCGTCGTCGTTCAGTCTCCCCCCGTGGACGTTCAATCTCTAGAACACCACCTCGCCGTGACGCCCGCAGTGTCTCGCGTGGACCCAGAGATTCCCGCTCGCCACCGCCGCGCCGCATGGATTCTCGGTCGCCGCCACCCCGGCGGATGGATTCCCGCTCCCCGCCACCTCGGAGTCGTTTTGAATCTCGCTCACCGCCGCCTCGCCGCCGGCTCGACTCGCGTTCGCCATCCCGCCATTCGGACTCGAGATCCCCGCCGCCTCGTCGCAGGGATTCGCGTTCACCACCTCCTCGTGAGAGGGGTAGGGGCGACTCGCGGTCTCCGCCACCACGTCGTCGAACCGCGTCCGCGGGTTCAGGCTCGTCCATGAGCGTTGGGTCGGATGATTGATGGGTCCCCTCAGCTTGATATCTCATTGTTCATGTTGTACTGTCGGGGGTTCAGATGCGGAGAAATATATGCAATCATCTGCGGAACGATGTATTGTGTCCACAATATCAAGACTATATACGTTAAATCAAGTATTCCTGTCAGTCGCCAGTGAGTCGTCCCGCCGTTAATCGTGAATCATGGTCTTCAAGCTTCAGGTTCCTATGCGCCGACATCGGCTCTTATGTCTGCCTTGCGTCCAATCTCGGAGAAAGCCGGGACAAGTAGGAGTTGTTCAACCGACACGATAGCCTTTGGTCGCGCACTTTTTTTGGCAATTCTTCCAGCAATAATACACCTCTCCGCAACCCACACACTTTTTCAGAGGCTTTGGCGCCTTCGTGATACTATATTGACACTCTGAGGCATGACAAAGCTGCGCCTGACTCGTACGCGGCGCAGGGGGCATGGCTTCCTCGGAGGGGAGACTCAAAATGCGACCGAACGCCTCCCAGTGATCAATGAAATGCCCCAGGAGAGTTGTACAATAAAACTTCACGTTCGCGGAGCGTAGCTCGCATAGCCCAAGGTACCAACGACCTTGGTACATAGCGGCGCGACGCATTTCATCAATGAATGGTCGAGGAAGTTGCAATCAGCGTCTGTCTTGGTGCGCCTCGCCTGCAGCGGGAGGAGGATAGTATCTGACCCACTGATCAAAGAGACTGTCCATCAAGAGTGTAATATCTCTCCCTATCTCCAAAGTACGATGCGCATTAACTTGAGCACATGACGAATCCGTGCGTAAGGGGACAATGTATCACATATTGACGTCCACCACGCGCTAGAGCGAAAGCGCATCTATCGCGTCGATGAGCATATCACTGTATAGGCCCGGGCACTTCGAGATATGAACCGAGTCAGCCTCGATATGACGCTCTATCAACCAAGCAAGGCGATATTTGCTGTGAGTTGACGTTCTCCTGTTGCGTCATGCTCCCACTTGTCCGTCTCGAAGGCATCGAATGTGATGTTCTGGGACGCCGCAGGTTCACCAGTACAGTAAGCTCACAACGCCCTCCCGCCGGTCCAGATGTCGAGAGATGCTAGGATTAGGGACCATATCGGCAGAAGAAACAGGCAGCATGCATGATAGGGCTGCATAACAAGATGCACAATCGGATGATTAGGCCAAGGAAGCGAGTGAATATTATGTGCAGAGGTGTCTAGACAGAACCGGGACGGATACAGAGAATGCAATGCATCACTCCTCTTCTGCTGGCTGTGCGTATTTGTCGCGAATGTCCTTCCACTGCTTCTGTACAGGAGCGAAGACAGGTCAGTACCAGAGTAAATGTCGTAGGAGTCAATCACGTACCCCTGCATTTACGCGATCCCAGACCTTCGAGACGCCAACATCGAAGCCAATGTTGAACGCAAATGCGGTGATGAAGATGCCCGTCACGTAGACGCCTGGAAGAAGGTTGACAATATGAGCCGCGGGCGAGCGCTAGTGCTCAGACTGTAGCTCACTGTTGCGCTTGACGACGGTGTTGTAGAAAGCGTTGGCGAGCTAGAGCGCAAGTCAGTAGAGCTACAGGAGTAAACACGGAGTAGAAGTGCGTACGGCCATGGTGGTTGGAGGAAAAGGATGGGTTCCGCGCGCGCCCGACGAATCGCGCGTGGCCGAATTCTGACGGCGCGCGTCTCTGCCTCAGCCAGCCATGTTCGCTGTCCGCGCCGCACGCGCCGCTGCGCCGCGCGCCTCAACGTCGAGCCTCTGCCAGCGCTCGTATCGTACTACAGCTGTTGCACGTGCTCTCGCAGACCCATTTGCGGACCAGGACCTCCCGCCAACCGCCGACCCTACTCTCTACCCGAAATTGGTAGACACAAATCCCATGCGCACTGCAGAGGCTGCTATGGCAGGAACGGCCACAATCAAACAGCACTACGTACACATAACAACCACCCAAAACAACACTCTCATAACGCTCTGCGACGACCGCAAGACGCCCATCAAAGATGGAGTATGGTCCGGAGGCATGGTCGGCTTCAAGGGCAGCCGTAAAGGAGAATTCGAGGCGGGTTACCAGTGTGCGGTCAGCGCTTTCAAGCGTATGGAGGAACTATACGAGAGGGATCCCGGTGTACGCTTTGAACTGCTGTTCAGCGGAGGCGGGAAGGGACGTGACGCTGTTGTGCAAGCGTTGACACTGGCCGAGGGCGAGAAGGTCCGCGGGCTAGTGAATAGGCTGACGGACAAGACGCCCATTAAGATTGGTGGAACGAGGGCGAAGAAAGTGCGGAGAGTATAGTGTGAGTCTGGCTCTCCATCCATATCGCTGAAACGCTGACACTTCGCCACAGGCCATATTTCGCGACTTTATTGTCCTTTTTGCTTGTGCGCATCGCTATCATATACTGTCTTAATATATCCACAAGAACCGGGCTTCTTTACACCTCAGGCGTTGCTCGAGCATGCGTGGTCAACACAATGAACCGTCAAGTATGAGAAGTTCCAATAACACCACGATGTGTAGACCCAGACTAGCAGAGTCGTCTAGGCCACCATCCTTGTTGCGGCCAACCGAAGTCAAATATCTCGTTTATTGATGTTATACAAGTGCAGATTATCTACCCGAGCCCGCTCTACGCGACGACGTCGAGCTTGTTGATCAACAAGTCCTTCTCGATGATCTTCTCCTTCCACTCGCGCTCGACCTGTCCAAGATCCCAGGTCGATTCGACGTAACGCCCACTAAGCCAGTCGGCCTTGCCCGAGGCGAGGTACAACATCGTCGACGCCGGTAGTGCAGCAGGATCCGGCATCTCCATACCCTGCTCGATCAGTCCGGACTCCTGAGCAATGTCGGTGGCGACGGAACCAGGATGAAGTGCAAACGCCTTCACAGTCGGGTTCTCTGCGGCTGCGCTCTATCAGATATCCCTCAAGCAAGTGCAGGATGACTCACCCTGTGCGATGAACTCGATCAACCTGTTGACGGTGTGCTTCGACGTCTGCGCTTCTGTCAGCAAAAATGCCGACATCAACAACTGTGGTACGGCTCACCTCATAGTCACTGCCGCCCGGCCACCGAAGCTGCGCTGCCAGGGAGCTGATGGCAATGAAGGTGCCGTTCGTCTTGCGGAGGTACTTCGCGGCAGGACGGATGGTGTTGTACACGCCGAGTACGTTGATCTCGAAAGTGTTCCACCAGCCGTCGGCCGGCTTCTCGTCCATGGCTATCCATCAAGTCAGTCGGATACATTACGTTGCTGTGGATGCGTTGACTGACTCTTGCCGAAGGTGGTCAACGCGCCAGCATTGGCAATGACAACGTCCAGACGACCAAATGCGGCGGCGGCGGCCTCCACTGCGGCCTCGACCTGCGCGGTGTTCTTCACGTCTACGACATATTTCTCAACCTTCGCATCCGGCACCTCCTTTAGCACGGCGGCCTTGGTCTCCTCCAACTTGGCCTCGGACCGCGCGGCGACAGCGACCGCCGCACCGGCCTTCGCGAAGGTGATGGCGGTCTCGCGTCCGATACCGCGGCTACCGCCAGTAAGGAAGACGGCTTTGCCTTTGAAAGACTGAGAAGCCCATGCCGAGGCAGGGTCAATGGTGGGATAGACTCTGGCAGGGAACGGGTGAGTGGTGAGGTGGTCAGGGTCGATGGCCGTCGGGCGCTTACTCGTGACGAGCCTCCACGGGAAGGGTTTCTGTGAGACCTTTTACGGACATGATGTGCGTTGGTTGATAAAGAAAAGAGGTAAGACTGGGTGCGGGGGTGCCTGTGCGTTTTGGAGTTGAAGCGGGTGCCTCTTATACCTGGTGAATATACAGTGACTTCGCACATGCTCTCGGATGCATACCGGCTCTGCGTTCTTTCGAACCCTCTGTGACGAGGAAAACAAGCTCAGTCCCTGCCCGAGCAGCAGAGGCGCGTGGCCGACCACTCTCGGCCTGTACACTCCGCATGTATGCTGACATTCCGGCAGGCTGACTAACGCCAGAGGCCCGTTATCCGGGGTTGCCCCAGACAATCGGTTGCCTATGCTTTGGTGAGCACCTTTCCACGAACACCCTGGATCATGTCCTCACTAAGCAGCATGCCGCTAGAAGCGCTGTCTGTGCAGTAACACTCCCGTGTTATAGCCTGGTTCTGGATGGGATCAAGACAAAAGAAAGGTGCGGGATGGCGTCTTCACAGTGGTGCGCAGTCCCATATATTCACGCTCTTACTGCAGCATGACACATCCATAAGAATGTACTCAATGGGAGTACCGACGATTCGCATCCCAATCGCGAAAACGGGAGGACCGAAGGGGCAGAAAAGTGCTGGTCTCCGCACCACGGGCCGACCTTTACAACACCGTGGGGCGGAAGCGCAGATAGATAAGGTGGATCCTACATCCTACAGATCTAAGTGTCTTCGCTTTCAATGAGGCCTAGGAACCTGCGGGAGAAGTCGGCACGTACTTGACGTGTTGTATCCAGTTGGAGACTCGCCTGCACGACCGTACCGGCTCCATGCGCGATACGAGAGCTTCTCTATACATCGGCAAGCCAGATGCTCCGAGTCATCTCAAAATTCGCCGTGAAATGTCTGCGGTCTTGTATGCTTATATCTCAGTATGACGGTATCAGAATGCCCAATGTTTGAAGGTAGCGCGCTCACTCAATCATCCACGCTATCGTCTATACTGTCCACGAACTTGACCGACACATTGTATATTGTTTGAGAGTAAATTCAACTCCAGAGTCCATGAAGTCTGTAAGAAACCGTTGCCACTCGA